TTTCCCTCAGGAGATGGCATTGGAACGGAGAGCAAAATGAAAAGAGGGAAGAACTATGTTACTGGCTCATTCATTAGGTCAATGAGTGCTTGTTAGCTGCATCCTTTAGGTGTTTAGTCACATGCCTTTGTGTGGGTACTGAACTATTTATATCTTTATGACTTAGGATGCCAAGCAGATCTTAGAGTCCAGGAAGGAAGTGCCTGGGCTTCTCATGTCCTTTAAATAGCCTTCAGCAATTACATATTTCCCTTTACTAACTTAGTACTTCTTGAATGGTATGTCAGTTCTGCAAATGAACTTGGTATTAGAAGTTCTTGGAAGAGAAAAACATTTGGAAGAATCTATCAGAAGAAAGCAGCTATGTTATGCTTGAATCTTGGGAGTCAAAGAGAATTGGGTTTGAATTCCAGCTTGCCACTAGCTGTGTGGACTTGCATGCGTCCCCTAACTTTACTGAGTCTGTGTCTTTATAAAATGGGGCTGGTAACCCTAGATGGTTTTGCTCAGTAGATAGAGCATTGGCCTGTGGACTAAAGGATCCCAGGTTCCATTCCGGCCAAGGGCACTTGCCCAGGTTGCAGACTTGATCCCCTTCAGTAGGGGACATGCAGGAGGCAGTCAATCAATGGTTGTCTCTCATCATTATGCCTCTATCTCTCTCTTTTCCTCTCTAAAATCAATAAAAAAATAAATAAAACGGGGATGCTAATGTTTAATTCACTTAATTATTAAGGTCAAATGAAGTAATCTATATGAAAAATATTTGGAGCCCTGGTCGGTATGGCTCAGTTGGTTGAACTTTGGCCAGTGCACTAAAAGGTCACCGGTTTGATTCCTAGTCAGGGCATATGTCCAGGTTGCAGGTTTGATCCTCAGTTAGAGCATATGCAGTAGGCAATGCATTGATGGTTTTCTTACCCTCTTGCTCTAAAATCAATAAAATCATATTTTAGAAAATAATAAATTTAAAAAGAGAAATACTTGGTATGTTATAGGAAATCAATAAATGCTAGTTTATTATGAAAGCTTGGAAATATCCTTAAAGATAACAATAGGAGTTGGTTATCTATGTGTATATACTAAATAAGAAATTTACGTCATACTATATAATGATAATTATAGTTTACACTGAGTGCTTACTATGTTACAAGTACTATTGTAAGCATGTTACATGGATTAGCTCATTTCTTTCTCACACTTACTTACAAGATAATTGTTAATATCCCATCTAATTCATAACAAAAATGGTGTGTAAAGAAACTGCCTATGGTCAAATAATAAGTGGTACAGTTGGGATCATAACCAAGATAGCTTGACACCAGAGCCAATGTTTTTAATACCAAATCACTCAATTATAATTTAAAATTATCCTGTTGGAAGTCATCATCTTAGGTCTTTCCTAGAGAAATATCACTATAGAAAGTGACAATAACAAGAAAAATAGAGCATAAAGTATAAGTATAACCAAGTTTATTTTATTTTTTAAAAATTTTTCCATATTTTATTGATTTTGTACAGAGAGGAAGAGAGAGGGATAGAGAGCTAGAAACATCGATGAGAGAGAAACATCGACCAGCTGCCTCCTGCACACCCCCTACCGGGGATGTGCCTGCCACCAATGTACATGCCCTTGACCAGAATCGAACCTGGGACCTTTCAGTCCGCAGACCGACATTCTATCCACTGAGCCAAACCGATTCTGGCAAGTATAACCAAGTTTAAAAAGAGTGAACAAGGTTTAAAAAAATCACACCAATATTACTGTTAATTAGAGGTTGCTTTACATTATTTAAAGTTAATACCCAACATTTCAATATTAAGGATCATTTATTATTTTCATATAGTCTGTCTCAAAAATCTATTCACTTAAAGGAAAATGACTGCTTATTATTGATTAGAGACAAAAAAAAGGCATCTAAACAGAATGTTTAAAATTTTGAGGACTGTTTTTTTTTTGTTTTTTTTCCCAAACTGTAGACAGTTCAGCAGTAAATTTTTTTTTGAGTTATTGATCACAACAGATATAATCCACATGACATAATTGAACAATGCCCAGAAAACAATAACTTTGGTTATCTAGAAAACATAAATAAAATTCCAATGACAAAGAGGTAAATACATGATTAAGAACAACTTGTGTTATGCCAAATTATTTAGTCTTTTACCATAAATAAAATCTATAGACTAATAATATACCAGCTTGATTACATTAAGTAGAGAAAAAGTCATGACTATTTACAGATGCTAAATGATAACCAATTATTCCAGGCTTATAAATAATAGTTCCCATGATATTGTGCTGAGCTATAACTAGTTGTGTATTAAACTAAATAATGTGATCAAGTAGACTAGTATTTTAATACCCTATCCTATCTCATATATCTTTCTATTACTCTCTTCTTTAAGCAGAAAGATGGCAGTAAGAAATGTAATTTTTTGGTGAAATAATAGAGAAAAAAAGTATAAAATTTCTGCTGTGTATAATTTTAGATGGGCAAAACCAAAACAACCACATATACACATAGATAAAAATCTAATCACAAATCTTTAAAAAAAATTGTTTTATTGGTTTTAGAAAGAGGAAGGGGGGTGGTGGAAGTGGAAGAGGGTGTAAGGTGGATTTATTTTATTAGGTTTAGAGAGAGGAAGGGTGAGAGAAATATCAACCAGTTGCCTTCCAGGACCGAATTCTAGGAATCAAACCCACCACCTTTTGTTTTATGGGACAGTTCTCCAACCAACTCAGCAACACCGGCCAGGGCTCAAATCACAAAACTTTGACATGGTAGAATCTAATGGTGATATTAGGCAGACACATGAATATGCCATAAAACACACGTAACAAATTGAATACAAAAAAGAGAAATTAAGTTATAAAGACTAGGAGCATATGTAAGTATTGTAAATGTACGAGGATGGTTGACAAAAGTGGGAAGTTTTTTTTTATTAAGAGGAAAGTTAATAAAATGGAGGATATTGTTTAAAAAAAGTTAAGAAAATCACTGGTTTTCAGTCCTATATAGGTATTAAAGAATTAAAGAATCTCCTTAATTCTTTGCTCTGTTACCTAGCAGCATGGTGAAGATGGTACATCTATGGTATCTCCTCCAAGAAGATAACCAGATACTGCTTTAACAGAAAATATCACTGAGATCAATTACAAATATTTTTGATAGTTTAAGTAACTATAATAGTGAGTAGTTACTAGTTACAGATAGTCTCGGTAAGTTGAAGTCCATTTATTGGTTAATTTTTTAGAATTCCATCTACACTTCACACCTACTGGAGCTAAGCAGACTAGGTAAAAGCTTTCAGCAAACATCTGACAAACCAGGTAAATCAAAACATGAAAAGGCAGTGGTTTTGAGTTCTTATACAGCCTCAATTATGAGTTAGTCAACTCAAGCAACCATTATGTACTCAATAATAGGTATGACACAGCGCTGCACATCAGTAACACTACAAGCAGGCAGGCACAGGCAGCCTGCTTATACTGATTTTTGGTGTTAACATTCCTAAGCAGCATGGAAAATATTAATAACAATGCTTTCTCATGAGAACATTACAGAGGTGCTCTACGAGATTTCTCTTTTTCCGACTATGCAGAAGGACATATAGGAAGCCAGCTTGGGGATAAATTCCTAATTGCCAGTGATTGTTGTGAATATAACCCATATTTTCCTGGAGATTTAAGCTTCTCCTGAGGGCGGCTGCTGTTATAAAGAAAAAAAATTTGTCTTTTTAAAAATGTATTTCATTTTTTTTTCTGTCACCATTTATCCATCCTCCACCCTCTTCCGCTTCCACCCCTCCCCCTCCCCAAGGAAAAAAAAAATTGCCTTGAAACATTAACATTGCACTGGCTTAAATGATCAGGAAACAAAGTAAACAAAAGAAAACTTTAAAGCATTATTTAAACACACACACAGCAGGAAGTAGCTGATCCTTAGGAAGGCACGAGGTGGCTTCTTAGGAAGCATTTACAGAGTCTGATGCACTGTCAAAGCCGGTTTACAGTCCTCACCCCCGCACACCCTTGTGAGGTAAGTGTATTATCACCGCGGATCCTACGCGAAGCCGCGGAGGCCGGGCTGACTCAGTTCACTCGCCCGAGGACAGTGAGTCAACGCGGAGTCACAGTTGACCCGGCCTAGCGACGGCCCCGACCGGCCGGGGCTGAGTCAGCGGGGCCGGCGCGGCTTCCCTGCGGGCACCTGGACCCGGGCTGTTCCCGCTCCCTTTGGAAATCACGATAGTGGGGCCGAGAGGGCAGCGCTTGCAAATCATTTTTTTTTTTTATTTTTTGCTTCCACGCCAGACTTAGCCCTGAGCTCTTCCTCTCAGGATCTGGGGCAGGAAAAGCTGCCGGGTGCACCCTCTCCCCCTCCACTCTCCCCCGACCTGTGGCGAGCGGGCACCGTGGGCTGCGCCGCCGGCCCCTTTCGCAGCGATGGCGAGGGACCACCCGCGCTAGCCGGAGCCCGGGGCACCCGGGAGGGTCGGTTGCTAACACAACGACGACGCTCCATCGCCGCCGCCGCCGCCTCTTTTTGAAACGAGGAGAAAAAAAAAAAATGGTGGGAAGTCAAAAGAAAACTAAATAAGCACACAGGCCAACTGGTACTGGGACCTCAACTAAGACAAATGAAGCTTCCCTGTGCGTGCTGAGCCTGCAGTTCCCAAACCCCCCCGGGGAAGATGGGCGGACAGGGCAACAAAGGGCTCAGCAGGCATGCCTGGCAGTGAGCGCTGCGACGGCAGCGACCCGGGCGCCAGGCCAGAGGACTGAAACCACCCACCGGCACGCGGCTGCGCGCCGCGCGGAGGACCGCGCGCCTTCCCCGCCGACCACGTGACCAGCACTTTTTAAAAAAAAAAAAAAAAAAAAAAAATCTCTTTGCCCTTAAAAAAAAAAAGAGACAGCGCGAAAGAGAGCGAGAGACTACACTTCCCAGAAGCCTCTCGTCCTCCCGCCCCCCCACGCTGCCGCAGTCTTGCGCAGGCGCCGCCGAGGCCAAACGGACACGTCCGTCACGTGGATAGTAACCAGCCAACCCGGTTTGAATCTCATTTTTTTCTTCCTCTCGCCCCCCCTTCAGGAGCGGTTGTGCGATCACATCGATCTAAGATGGCGACTGTGGAACCGGTGAGTGTTGCCTTCTGCCCCCACCCCCACCGGGCCCCGCGCCCCGTCCCGCTTCCGACTGCGGGACTCCGCGGGACGGCGTTCCCGGCGCGCACACACACCGTGCCTCGCCGCCCCCTCCCCCCCTCCGTGGGCCTGACCTCCCCTCGGGCGGCTGGGGGCGCCCCGGAGGCCGGCCGCGGCGGCGGCGGCGTGGAGCGCACACGTTCTGGCGGGGGCCGCGGGCTGGGGGCCGGGGTGGGGGAGGGGCGGCGCGGCGCCTCCTGCGGCGCCTCGCGGTGGCCCCCGCGGGCGGAGAGGGGGGTCCGGGCCCCGCGATGATAAGTGTGTGGGAATCGCCTTCGGGATGGAAGGGCGCGCGGGGCTGGTTCGGAGCGGCCGCCGGGAGCCGCGGAGACAGGGAGGGTGGGCGGCGTGCCGGCCTGGAATGAGATGGAGGAGGGAGCCCGGGCTGCTTTTCCCTCCTCCCTGTCTCCTTCTCTCTCTCTCTCTCTTCCTCCAGCGCTCGGGGCGCCGGTCGCGCGCGGGTCGCCGCTGGACCGGTGGGCCGGGAGCCGGTGGGCGCGCGCGGCGGGAGGGCGCGTTCGGCGGGAGCGGGGCCGCGGCACGCGCCGCCCGGGAGCTCCGGCCTCGCCGAGCGCAGCGCATGTTCCTCCGGCGCGCCCGGGAGTTGGCGGGTTTGGCGGCCGGGGAGGCGAGAAAGGTTTGGGGCGGGGAGGGGAGCGGGGAGAGCTCTCCCGAGCGGGGTGAAGGGTGGTGGCGGGGAGAAGGGGGGATCACTTTGTTCTCGCCCCTTCGCGCCGGAGCCCGGGCTGTCATGGAGGAGGGAAGGGGGAGGAGCGAGGCCCGCCGCCCGCCGCCGCGGGTCTGGTCGCCGGCCGGACCTCCCGCCTCTCGCACACACACAGACACGCCTGTGTCCTCCATTCATTCATTCATCTTCTCCGCGCTGTGCGCACGCCGCGGAGAATGCGAATGAGTCTGGATCCCGTTCTTAAGTGTTGACTGCCCAAAACACTTTTTTTCTTTTTTCTTAAGACATACTTTACTGGAAATAGGAACTTAACTTTGAAAATTAATTTTCCTTTTTTTTCCTTTTTGATCCATTTTCCTCTCCATTTTAAACTTATTTGAAGCAAGCAGATCCCAGAACAGAAAGTTTGGTGTTTTAACCCTCCTCCCCCTCCCAAAGGAGAGGGTATCTTGGCCATAGTTTGGGTTTGCCAGCGCTGGCTCCCTGAAACTTGTAGGCCTGCCTGTGTGGCTGTTTTAGGAATGTCACGTCTAAGTGACATTGTTTTAAGAGGTATTATGGAGTTTATTAGCAACCAGAAATCCGTTGACACTCTGGAACCAGTTCTAGACCAGGGTTGCCAGATATTTTTGTATATCTAATGCTAGTTTGTGATTTTGGTAATTGTCTGCCAATTTGTTTAAGCTATTTAAAAAACTAGCCATGGAAAAACGATAAATATATATATATTTTGAGGCTTTCCCCTTCCCCCCATTACATTGATGGAAACTATTAACCTTGTTGCCAGAATTTAAGGGAGATTGTCTGCTTGATTACTTGTTCTTTTATTGGTGTCAGTTTTCATTTATGTTTCTGGAAATTAGATTGACTACAAAACTGTCTCTTAGGTTTCTGATACAATTAGCTGACTATGGGGTATTAATGTTACATAGGTAAAGACTTAGGAGAAATCTGTAAAATTTTAGCTTTAATTCCTTTTAATGGGTTCTGATATTCACTTTTGACCATATCTGCTTGTCCTACACACTTTACCAGTGTCATTAAAAAACAATTACAGCTGGTAATGGTGGCAAGTTAAAACTTCTAAACAGTAACGTATTCTGTGAAATCCCAGTAACATTTAGATACTTTAGATTTTGCAAAATGATGCAGTTTTGTTTCAACAGCACAGAGCTACAGTGTTGAAGGACTATTTTGAGTCAGTAAATATTTATAGATCCTGATTGTAGAACATTGTACCAACGAAGTTATACAAGATGTGAACCTATACCTTGTTTAATGTAAGACTTAGTGAGCTTAATTCTCAATCAGTGATACAGTATAGTGCTGTCCCAGGATGATTTGGATTCTGCATTTAAATTTGGGGAGCAGTGAACCTAAAAACCTAAAGTGTATGAAAGTGGAAAGCCAGATTAAAACACACACACACACACACACACACACACACACACTAGTGCAGAAATGTTCATTTTTGGTGAAAATGCAGATTTTTCAGTACTTTTAATGTATCCTTGTCCATAAGTTATAATTTTTGGACAACTTTAAATAGTGGTTTTTATTTTCTTTAAAGCAGCTGCTTAGTATTGGTTGCAATTTAGGTATCCCTACTGAAGCCTACAAAGTGTTTATTCATTGCTATTTCAGCTAGCTTCTAACTTTACTTACTGCTTTTTTGCTGGGCACTTAAAGAACCTTTTTTTTTTTTTCACCCTGCTTGTCCCACCTTTCATAGGGGACTTTTTATATATGTACATAAAATATCACCCAGTTCTATTTGATATTGTGTGGTTTTTCTCAAGTGTGTGTGTTTATAAGTTCAGTTATATTAAATTTGTTGAGAAATTTGATAGGGTAAATTAAAGGAAGCATTTTCCCTCTTTACAGTGAATATGGCAATATTTTGAACATTGGGGTAAACAATACTCTTCTGTTGTACTTTTGGCATTTGAAATGTGGCTGGATCAAATTAGACTTATTATTAATTGGTGAAGATTGCAAGGCTGCTTTCCCCAGGTGATTTTGACTCCAGCAGAACATGTTTCTTTAGCTTTATCTTCATTCTGTGTTCTTTATTATTGAGCTTTTTTTAAAAAAATTGTTTTTTCTTTTTAAATTTATCTTTATTGTTGAAAATATTATAGATGTCCTCTTTGTTGTTTTTTCTTTTTCCCATTGACCCCCTCCACCCCGCACTTGTAGCTCTTTTTAAAGTAAAAGAATAAATTTTATTTTTTAGTTAAACTGAAGGTATATAATTTTACTTGTTTTTACACTGTGTCTCTTCAGTATGTAAAGTTGTACATTAATTTAAAAAGTGGAATCGACTTGGATGGTCGGCTGATCTGTTTCTTTTTTTATCCTTTAGAAACATGCTTTGTATTGGAGAGTTTATTAAGGTTAAATAAGGTTTAAGTACATATTGACAAATGTAATTTGTCATGTAATTCAGTGTTTTTTATTAACCAAAGACTGATTGACAAGCAGATCTTGCAAATTAATATGTATGTTCTTGCTTCAATGAAAGAACTCAGTATATAAAAATTCATTCATAAAGCAACTAAATGAATCTGATATTTATATTCTAAATTCACTTCATTTTATACTTTAAATTACTAGTATGTATAATTGTTTGACATGGAGAAATTCAATTTAGAGATACATAGTTCACACACTAAAGATGTACAATAAATGATGTAAATTTACCCAATTTGGACAAATTTTTAAAAAAATATATTTTATTGATTTTTTTAATAGAGAGGGATAGAGTTAGAAACATTGATGAGAGAGAATCATCGATCAGCTGCCTCCTGCACACCCCCTACTGGGGATGTGCCCGCAATCAAGGTACATGCCCTTGACCGGAATTGAACCTGGGACCTTTCAGTTCGCAGGCCAACACTCTATCCACTGAGCCAAACTGGTTTCAGCTGGACAGAAAATTTTAAGCAAAACATTTTAATAAAATATTCTGTTTAATTTATATATGGTTAAGAATATAGAAATGCCAACAATCAAGGAACCTGTGAAATAGTTGTAGCAATGGTAATTTCTACTTTTCCTTCCTTGCTACTACTGGAAATTTTCTGGTTCTTCTGGTACCTGTGACTTGTTCTGTCTTTGTCATAGAGACTCTTTTGACAGAGGAAATAAATATGGGTTATAATATGACCTTGAAGACTGAACATTCTAAATCTAGCTAAAAATGTAAATAAGATAACTTATAGAGGTTTTATTATTTTTTCTTTTATTTTTTTAAAATGTTACATATAGTAGTACATATATCCCCTCTTATAGAGATTTTAATGTTTTAATGCAATGTTCTGAGATGGCAGTTTGTCATTTATGAAGAACTAAATGACATTTATAGTGCTCATGAATACATTGCATGCCAGTGTATCTATGTATACATAGTGTATGCACCTTTTCCTCTCTTTGCTAGGAAATTCACATAGCTGCCTTTTGATTATCAGTCCTCGGCCATTAGCAAGAAATGCAAAGCTTATTTATGATCCACAATCCTCAGATACCCTTCCCACTCCTATCTCTACCATAAAAATCACTAGTGTTTCTTCAAAAGTTCCTAATTGTGTCAGAAAAAAAGAATCACATTTACCTCTTACATGCTGAATAAATCACTTCCAGGACCCAAGAATGTAACCAGAAAAGTAAGATTTTTTTTGCCCAGTTGGAACTTTAAAAAAAAAAATTTTTTTTATTGATTTCAGAGAGGAAGGGAAGAGGGAGAGAGAGAAACATTAATAATGAGAATCATTGATCAGCTGTCTTCTGCACGCCACCCACTGGGCATCGAACCCACAACCCTCCAGTTGGAACTTTTGATATATTATTTCACAGTAACAGTGGGAAGCTATACTTTAGTCACACTGTGTTCAGTAAGTTTCTGGGGAATTATGACAAATCTAATCAGCATTGGATTTCCAGCAAATGGCTTAATAAAAATGGCCTTTTACTACAAACACAGTCCGTTATATCTATTTTTAATATAGGCAGATCTTTATTTCTTAGTAATAGCTAAAATAAAGCACTTGCAGTATATACTGTCAGGCACCATACTAAATACTTTATACATATTAATCCTTACAAGCAGCCCTGTGAGGTAGGTAATATTCTTATTTCACAGATGAGGAAATCAAGGCACAAAGAGATTAAGTAACTTTGTGTGACTAACTTGTCCAAGATCACACAGCTAGTAAGTGGTGGGGTGGAGTTCAAACTAAAGCAGCCA